ACCGTGACATAAGTATGTTTATTAACACATCGTAAAAGAAACCCTACGCATAATTCATAATTTTAATATAATACAATTGAAAATAACTTTACAAATTGAACATTACAATTGGTTGCATCAATTTCTGTTATATATACCTGAACTTTTTACTTTAATAGTATGTAACTGATATATACATAAGTAAGACGAAGCAACATATTTCGAGAAACCGATAATTGAAGGAAAAGAAAGGTTCTAACATACTTGTTCGAACCTTTTTTTCCTGTGTAAGAAAGTGTTATAATATTGTATTTGTACGGAGGAGACTTATGTTCGTCAGTGAATGATATATATAGAATATACATAGAATTCATCAGTGTGATTATGTTTATATTTATTTTATAATGTTACATACATAGACCTGCACTGTCATATTTAAAACCAGTCCAATGAAATGCTGTTTATTAAAATTAAGTAAGTAGATAAAGACGTCATATCTGGATGTCAAAATCTGGACAGATATTTACTTACACACAAAAATATTTATGAACCATCCTTAGTATTTGTTAAATACTAGCTTTCACTCGCGATTTTATCTGTGTGGTTAAAATCTGTTTACTGACCAGAATAAAAAGCAGCCTATTTCCGTTTAGTACGTGTACTTATATTAAATTTCATAGTGATTGGTTAAGCTGTTAAAACGCTAAGAAGTAATAAAGAAACTCACTTTGACATTTATAATATTAACTATATATACAAGTAATTTGTAAAATATCACTTCTTGAGTGAACACGACATATGAAGTTGCTGTTTTGTTTATTTGGAGAAAGAGAATATTTGTTCAATTAGACTTAATATTATTACATATAGCACATAAAAATAGATTATTTTACAATTAAAACCGTTATCCAAAAAATAATAATTTGTTATAAACATTGATTTTTTTTCAGCATCAGTAACAAACATTATCCTTAATTATTTAATTTTTAATTTGATTGTTGGGGGGGGGGGGGGAAGGGATTTTCGCAAATTTTAAACCGATTTTGATGATTAATTTTATAGTAAAATATTTACCTGCTGCCGTGAAGGCGCAAATTTTACGAAGTTTAAAATCGATTTGTTCATGAAATAATAAATGTGAAACTATATATTGAACATTTTATATCAAGTCGATTACATATATAATAACCATAAAATATAGACACTGTTTTGTAAATACGAGTATTTTGATATTTAGAAAAAGTTGCCAATTTCGGGAAAAGTGTCTATTTCTAAATTTCTATTATACCTGTTTTGTTACATTTTGCTGTTTCGATTTATTACGAAGTATATTTTATATATACAGAATACATAACCTTTGTACTTGTTATTATTTTAAAAGATTTTTTCTTAAAAGTAAGCGGAAAGCAACAACAATTTTACTTAACAATGTTAATATTTTAAGTCAGTACCAGGTACTAAATACGATATATTCTTAGAAGTTACGTAGGCAGTTTAATGAATTTAGATATTGCCAAACTCTCAGATAAGTTCAGAGGATCAATCTTTAGTAAAATATTAATTGACTTATTAATAATTCAGGTTGAGATATCAAAGTAATTAAATCATTCTGTTTCGGGTTCAGTGAAAAAATAGAAGACTATTTATTATTTTACAAAAATATTGGTACTGTTATCGGTACCTTATTTTTTTAGTATTTTATATTGTATATATCTTAAATTATATAGGTATTGCATCATCGAACATGGAGTATCACAAATGTGTTAACATTTAGTCAACAAAATATATAGCTGGTTGAATTTGACACACTTTTTTTTAAACAAAACTCGGCTTTTTTCAGTGTTGCAAGTGATGAGATAAAAAAATTTCCATACATTTGAATTTTGACCTATTTCTTCGGATATCGTACAAATATTATTTATTAAGGAACGCCCAAGCATTTTTAAAAAGCTAATCTCTAAAAGATTCATGCAATTTTTAACTGTTCTTCTTTGCTTAAGCTATTTGTATTATATTTGAATCGAAACTGTGGTAAACGGTCTTGGTGGCAAATTTACTCAATGTTTTCTTTGATTAATATTATGTATTATTTTTTATTTTGTCACTGTTAGTTTTCCCAAATAAATGGAAAAAAAAAATTCGTTCGTGTTATAAATTAATATACATACATGTATTCATTAAAATAGCCGCCATTTTGAATAATATTAAAACGAAAACGTTATAAGTCTGTACTTGCAATATAATTTCTCCTGTATACCAAGTAGTAAAAACACTCTTGAATACAATAATTCGCCTATTTTTTGTATATGAAGATACTTTATCTATATAATCTAAGCTACATGCTTGTTTTTAACTCCCATGCTAAGTAGGCAGGGTTTTAAAAGCCTTACACATATCACTTACCTCATTTTAATATATTTTATACATGTATACTGGTCTTCTTTCATTTAAAATATGATCTGTTTTATATTGGATAAGCTCTCACTAATGAATTTTTAATTATACTGTTTAAATACATAATAATATGATTACAGAAATTTCTTCATATCTGGACGACTTAATTTTAGCAGTAAATTAAATTTCTTAAAAATAAATAAATTATTCTAATAAGAATATAGTTATTTAATTAAAATACTAATAGATAAGAACATATAATAAAACATGTCTTAATGTAAAACTAGTAAAATCATAAGACTAAATTACTTTACTGTTATGATAAAACAATGCCTTTTTTGTACTTTTGATGATTAAAAATTTTTTATAGGAAATTTTTATCCACTGACCTGTTTGTATTCGCTATAAAAACTACAATTTTATATATTTTGAAATCTCTACTTTTTTGAAAACTAGCACTAGTAAACAAGTAAGTAGCAAATTAGCATAAGTTACTATTATTCAGTATGAGCAGTTATGTTGATCATGATAATTGAATATAAATTTCAAGTTTTTTTGAAAACTATAAAAGATGTAAACAAGAAAAAAAGATAAAAGCCAAAATATGATAGATATTCCATCAATCATTTATATCTATCTGGATAGATTTATTTGACAATCCGACCCTTTAACTTTAAACATAAAAAATAATCTTATAAGGGAAACATCAAGTTTACTGATTAATTATAATCTACTATGAATTATTTTTTTTTGTTTCATGTTATTAAATCGGTACCACAATTTAAAATTCTAAAATTATTATATTTCTAAGTATATATAATATAATAATATTTCAATGGAAACAAAGTTTTGTACGAGTATAAACAAATCAATCTTAATTATGTTCTAGGGTAGTGGAACCAATAAATGAACATGAATAATTTATTTTATTTTAATTAAAACTTCTATATATACATATGTACTATTTATTATTCGATCATGTGCTTAAGTTTTGAGTTTTCCTGCTTTAATTAGCCTTCTATATAGAAACTATTTTCGATGTGTACCGCAGAAACAATAATTTGTTGTGAGCAAATTATAGATATAATTGTATTATTTATATAAAGTGGATACAGAATGTGTTGTGGAAAAACACAGCATATTCGCTGAAATATCATGTATTTCTTATTATTTTGAATTATCGGTAATATGTGTATGTATATTGTGTATTTTTGGTCATTGTTGGGGGTGTTCATCTTTTGGTTTCATTACCCTACTCGTATATAGGTGGAAAAATCTATTGAATATCTTGTTAATATTATTATAATATTACTAGCTGACCCCGTAAACGTTGTTTTACCACTTATTGCGAAATATAAAAATTGCGATTAAAAGACAGGGGTTGATCGTAAAACGATAAAAATTTAAAGTTGTGTGTATTTTTAATGCTAAATCATAATAAAATAAAAATGGACAAAATTGTTAAAAAATATAAAAAAAAATTTTTTTGGGGAGGGTCACCCTTATCATTGAGGGGTATGAAAAATAGATGTTGGCCGATTCTCAGACCTACCCAATATGCACACAAAATTTAATAAAATTCGGTAAAGCCGTTTCGGAAGAGTTTGGTAACAAACACCGTGACACGAGAATTTTATATATAAGATTATGGCATTTAAAATGTCATAATAAATTAAGAGGCAACTCTAATATAGTTAATAAGTTGAAAGTATTCTCAAGTAATAAATAGCAAACTTTTACATTTATATATTTGGTACAAAAATAATCAGTTTTCTATATATATATATATATATATATATATATATATATATATATATATATAACTTTTAGAGTATCAATTTTTGGCTAAAATTGCAAAAATATTATTTATAGAGTGTCTATTATTTTATTTAATCTGTATATATATATTCAACTTCTTAAAATTACTACTATGTATCTATTAGGTAATTATAATTTACATAATATTTGGTACATGGGTACATGCATCGTTACGTATATAGATACTTGTATAAATAAGATACAGTCTTTATAACTATTATCTATTTTATGATTACAAGGTAAATAGCTTTGGGCCTTTTGGAGAAGGTACATCATACCTTGTGGATATTTTTTTGGTCTTTTGTTATGTTTACTTATTTTCTCACATTTACGTGTTACATATGGAATAGTTATATACTTAAGATTTAATATACATACGAGTATCGTGAATAGGTAATTGTGTAGTAAATGAATTAGCGGAGGCATACAATGCAGATATAATATTAATTCCTAGTGTACAAATATATCACATACCATTACTGAAAATATTTATTACAGTATACATTAAATGTTTATTATAGTTGTCATTATTGAATAAAAGATTTCATATAGTGATATTGGCCGAATTTTCCCTGCGAGAGGTTTTTCAGTAGTAATACAGCTGTGGCAAAAAAGTACGAATCCGTAGTGGCGGTAATAAAAAATATTTTTAATTTGAGACTTTATGACATATAAGAACCAACCCGTTTACAAACTGAATTACCGCTTTTTATTTTATTAATAAATCGAAATCAGCTATCACTTAATAACATAGTTTTTAGAAGCTGCTCAAATATACCGATAATTACCAGCAGTTTTTTTCATCTTAGCTTTAAAACCTGAGATGACAGTAATAATAAAACATGCTTTTACTGAAACTTATCCGTATTCATTGTCCTGCTTCTTTATTGAGTAAGATCTATCGTGTTGTATCGACAGGCGTAGTTTCTTCAGTAGGCAAAGTTTGATGGGAACAGCACAATTTACGCGTCTGTCGCTGTTCGTTGACGAAAACTGTTCTATCTGACTGCGTAGTTTGGGAGTTATACCTTTTTCCTTCTTTTGGTGGTTGTAGTTTTAATAGCTTTTGTTCAAAGCAACTATGTAGATGATATTCACGGTTCAACGATGCAATCCTTTTGCATTCATTACAAGAATTATTCTTCATATCATGCTCGTAAGTACGAGCATTATCTTTGCTGTCGTGTTTTTTCTTGTGACCATTTGAGAGTTCAATCTTTGGCGAGTTACCTGTAAATAAAAGATGATATTTTCTTAAAGATTTTCCATCTCAATGTCTCATATTAATTTTGATAATTTTTAATTCTGTAAAGTTTTTTCCAGAAATATTTGCTTTACTGAATAAGATTGTAATGTGTCATCGCTTAATCATATCTCTATGATGTCGTAAGAGATGATGAAAAAAAATTTCTCTATGGAGGAAGATCCATTCTCAGAATTGGGATAGGACTTGTTTAAGTCTATTGAGCAGATGTTTTATAGGTACCTGAGTTCATTGTTCCCGACGAAGTTTGATTACGTAGAAAAGCCATGGCAGTATACGAACAGCGTTTGCCATTTGCTCTTTCAGTTTTATGACAGCACCATTGTATTACAGTATTCTGTAAAAATGCTACATTATCAGATTAAGAGTGATCTATTAAAATTACTGATAGTATCAGTTAAGTATATGGGAGATGTAATTCTATGAAAGCGATTTAAAAAAATCACAATGTGCTATTTGTATCTGATTGTATGAAGGGAAGTTACATGTGCGATGATTTAACATTTTATATGAAATATCACATATCACTAGCGAAATCTTCCTAGCCTGCTGATGGGGAAGAATTTTTCAATGATTGATAATGATTAGATAAAATTATGATAATGATTTTCCTATAACATAGATTCGTATAATTATGATACAATTAATTTTCTGATACAATTAACTGTTAAATAAACATGTTAACTTTAACCAATCCTTTTTTCTTTGCAAAATATTCAGTATCATTGGCAGAACATTCCTTTGAAAGGATGCTAATTATTTTGAAATATTATTAAAAAATGAAATTTTAATAATTAATGGATATATTATTAAAAAATGAAATTTCAATAATTATTGAGTGATTGAAAAATTCAAAGATGAGGTTTGAACTTTAGTTAGTTTACTCGTACTTCTTTTAGTTTAGTATGTACTGATATACTTCCTATTGTGTTAGTAATATAAACTACACCATTAATTGTTATTTATATAAATACGGTAGTACAAATGATCATAAACAGTTGTAGCACGACGAAATATAAACGTTTTTGTTGGAAATAGAAGGACAAACGTATAGTGAAGTTTACTATTTATATTTCCAGTGTACATACTTTTTATCTTTATATTTATGAAATTGTAAAGATAAAATGTCTGCAATTTCTTGAAAATTACTTGCATAAACTACATACATAGGAATTAATAAGCAGTATGTTTAAATTATTAACGAAGAATTAATGATTTTTAAAAGCCTGTTAGCGTCTTTGGGTATTTATTACAAATAGACAAATACACAGCTTGCTTTATATTTGTATTTTTTGATTTCTGTATATTCCAATAATCTTAGTACATATTTGTAATCATTATTGAGAAAAACTCCACGGCCATCTAAAGAAAATGATACAAAAAGTATAATGTTAATAAATTTATTTACCTTAAATGCTTCTCTGAATTTGTTTGACATAATATGGTAAAAAATTGGATTGATACATGTAGACACGTAGTAGAATACACCGGAGATGTAAGTGAGAAAGGAGTACACCATTAGCAGTATTGGGGACTTCGCCTGGTGGTTTTCCGTGGTGCCATAAATTGCTACCAGCCTTTGAGCGTGGAATGGTGCCCAGCATATAAAAAATGCTACTACAACTGCCACTGTTGACAATAAAATGTTATTGATTTAATATATGCATAATCCATAGATTGATATCTATGAATAGAGTTGTAGATCATACACATTTTGTATATTTTATGTATTAACTTTAAATATGTTTAAAATTACTGTTAAGTTTCTTTGTTATGTAATTGAGAATGATGCTCATCTGATCTAAAATGATAACCGTCACTTATAGACATGAACTGCATTATAGATACCTACTACAGAATATAATGAGATGCTCATATTATGTCTCACGTGTTGGAGTTCCGAAGAACTGTTATGTTGTACCTCAATACTATGTATTCTTATTTTCATATCTCACCCTTTAAACTGAAATTATTATTATTATTCATTTAATTATTTATAGATGATTAAACTCCAACACACTACAGGTAATTACAATTTTTGTACATGTCAAGTTATTTATAATAATTAATAGTAGTAATTAACTATAAATGATTATGATTATATTTAATTATATAAAAAGTCAATTCTGTAACTTAAATCCACTATAGTAAATTGGTATACATACAAATATAGCCATGCACAGCTGCTTGATGACTTTGATGACAAATACTTCATTTGGTTTTGTTTTATTGTTACAAAAATGATATGTTGGAATACAATTTTCGAGATACCAATTAAAGAATAGGAAGTAAATTATAAGATAGCTATGTATTTAAATAAGAGGCTACAAAATATAAAGAAAAGTCTAGAACATAGGAATGATAGATTCATCACTACATAGTATAAAACAAAGTCGCTGTTACTGTCTGTCCGTCCCTATGTATGCTTAAATCTTTAAAACTACGCAACGGATTTTGAAGTGGTTTTTTAATATGTAGAGTGATTTAATAGGAAGGTTTATATGTATAATACATGCGTAATGTAGTAGAGAAACACTGATACATTTAGAGGTTTCTAATGTGATGTCGTAAATAAACACATTTTTTTGCGCATACATTGCAAACGCTGGCTGAACTCCACGAGATAAATCAAAAAAATATACTACAGTATTGTACACCTTAAAAAGGTCAATAAAAAAGTCCGCAATGGTATATGTCTATCTCTTAAGGATAACCCACAATAACCATTTTTTATCCTTTACATTTTACGAGGAAAAAATGGCTTATATACGAAGTAATTTTAAGCAATACAATATTAATTTTTATCCAATTAAGTACTTTCAATCTAATGTCCATTTAATATAGATTATTATAGCCCTTTACAACATGTTAATAGAAGAATATAAGGACATTCTATAGTACTACCTACTATAGATTAGTGTCAGTGTTTCATCCGTGCGAAGCCGGGGCGTGTCGCTAGTTAGTTATATTATAATTAACTTATAAATTATTCTATTAAATTAAGAAATACAATTTTTTTTTATACAACTTAGAATGGCAAACAAGCTGACGGCCCACCTGATGGAAAGTGGTAACTGTCGCCTATAGACATGAGTAGTACCATGGACATGACAGACTATACTGTTTCGCCCATGATACCGCCCATGCGTTGCCATTCCTGAGGACTCAGGTGTTATTCCTCTGTACCCAGTAAATTCACGTCATATCCTATCCTTCAAACCGAAACACAGCCCTGCAAACACAACTGCTTCACGGTTGAAACACGAATTCCCATTCGTGTTTCATAGAGGTACCCAAGCAATCGACTTTTGTACAAAGTCTCCCTCTGGTAAATGTGTTATTGTATAAAATCTATGTACAATTAATTCATGATAAATGACTAATATAAAATTATTTTCATTTATGTGTTTATATCACTAACCAAATTCAGGCAGACGAAGCTATTGGGCAGCATATTGTAATGAATGAAAAAATTTAATGAAGAAGTTTTTAAAAAAAATATTTACTATGTAAATGAGTAAAGCAAGCATAAGAATACACAGTAAAAGTTTATAATAGAGTTCAGTAGTTTTAAAACTAAAAGTAATAAAAATATATAATAACACCTTGCGTACTCGATGGTATGAAACTTATATCAAGAAAAGAAACTTTATAATTCTTATACATATTCTTGTTAAAATTATTAAGTTTTATCTTTTATTGTACGCGTGAATTAGTAAATAAAGTACTATGTATTAATGTGACATGGTTTACTTATGTGTGCTAAATTTCTTTCTAACGTATTTTGCCGTTTAAGCGTCTATTAAGTAACAAATAAATATTTAAACTTTCACATTTATAAAATAAGGAAGTAGGATAAGTTTTGAGTGTTGAAATTGTAAACTATCAATGTCAGAAATTAGTCAAGTCATAACTTTCTTCACGCAATTGATTTTCATATGTATGACATATTTATGTTTATGATGTCAATTTTCATATTTATGATTGTGTATATATATATTTTAATTAAATAATTTTTAGCTTTGCGCTTTGTATTCAGAATATTTTAAATTATTATACCTATAAGTTTATGGTTCATGTTGTGTATGATTTTGTAAAAAAAATAACTTTTTTTTACAAAATCACGTGCAATCAGTTGCATATATATTTCAGATTATTTACTGATTAGGGCAAAATATTGTAATTTCCTAAAAACTGTAGCATTCATGACTATAGTCATGGTGTAGCGAATACAGTTACTTCTTATACTTATAATAAAGCCATTGCTTTGTTTTATTATATTCTTAAACTATAGAATAATAGCTACTAAACTACTACTAAACGCACTAGTTTAGTCTTTTTCATCAGCATATTTATTTAGATTTTTATGGTTTTGATATACCTACATTATTTACTTGTTTATGTCGAAACAGGTAAAAATCTTTGCATAATCTATGTAGAAACCTCCAGAATAAGTTTATCTGATAGACTTATAAACGCAATTAAATTGTTTTTCTACATAAACTCAATTTCAATTCAAAGATTAATGATTTTTTCTTAGGTATGTAATATATGTATATATATGCAATATTTTATTAACGTATCTTGTAAACGTAGCTAATCTTTGTAGCTGCAATAATTAACTTGCGCATGGTTTATATTTCGAACGATATGTCATATTACATTTTGTTAGCATTTTATATCGCATAGGTATCACGAAGTAATTATAACGCAATAAAGTCCTATAACAACGTGTTCCATAATAACATAATGTTATTGATTATTCTTTTCATCAATTACTTTACAACGTTGGACTTTGTTGACACGTTGGTACTTGTATATGTAGAGACGTAATAAACCTTGCTGTCAATAAATAATGCCTAAATAAATTTAGGCATTATTTACTGACATAATAAATTTATAATTCAAAATTAAAATTTATTTAGCAAACTAAATAAATATTAATTTTGAAGGTTCCTATTAGATATATATCGAGTATTATGAGATTGAAATTTACACTAATTTAAAAAAAATAACTACCATATAAAGAGAAGAGTAGTAATAGAATAGCTTGGCATAAATAAATAAAAAAATTGTTTGAAGTAAAACAAGTTTTTCAATTGACAATATAAATTGCAACAGGTAATGTTTTGTTGCAAAATATCTACTGAACATTAAATAAAAATGTAGATACTACAACAAAATATAATCTGTATGCGCGAGTACAATAAGTGCCTAGAGGTCATGGCTGCTATGTTTCATACCTATGTATTCTATATGTCTAGTAATTCAACTTCTGTGAATATACATGAATAGGAATAAATTTAATCATTCACTAATTCTAAGATTCTGATGTAATTAAGCATTTTTTTAAATAGTGATACATTTAATCCAACAATGAATTTCAACCATTAACGTTTAATTGACTAATCAGTAACAACCTAATATCTTGATGCTGACTTCTGCAGGTATAAGATTTTTTATCTCAGTCATTTTTATATCAGTACTGACTGAGATGTAATTATTTTAAATTTTTTACTTTGCGAACCTTGAATATATGGAGGGGAGGGGGATATTTTTTGTCACATTTTCTATCATAAGTCAAAAACCAAGGAACATAAAAATAAAGGAAAAAAATTTAAAATGTACAAATGAAGTCCTTTCATATGATACTCCACTTGGGCTTGTAAGCTAATTTCTAAATTTTGACTACCTCTTTTCGACTCTCTAGCAAAGAAAAATGTTTTTTCAATTATTTCCATTACAATATGTGTGGCCCAGTGATATTAAAAACTATGTCAAATTGACAGCATTAGTAGTTGCTGTATTATAGTGTATATGACTGATTGGCGGACGAAGGCTTTGTACCTTTTCAGTATGGAACCCTAAAAATGATCGCAAGTAAGGGTTTTTATTAATGGATGACAATGGAATGGTAACCCTGCCTGCGCCATCGGTACACACCGATGGGCGCAAGTAAGAGTTAAAGCCTGGCAACCTCGTTTGTAGTTAACTGAAAAGAGGCAACTCGGGTACATTGTATTATATTTTTACTTATTTTTTATTCAAACCAAGTTTCATTAAAAAGTATACAAAAGTCAGCAACGGAATCTTAGGCTACAAATGTAGTACGTTATACTAAGCCAATGGGCTATAAGGAGTATCATGTTCCAAATATATATATATATATATAACAAATAATAATGTCACGTGGCAAGTTATATAGACGTCAAAAAAGTAACATGAAAATATTCTATGTCAAAAAGACCGTTAACGAGATTTGCATGGTAATCTGTTTTCTGTTATTTTTGAGATCGTGTAATTTAGATGTGTACGCATCAATGGATAAGCACTTTTTTGGAATTTTATTTACCACCACGAAGTGGAGGTTTAAGTTATTTAGCTATTTCCCTTATTACTTTTATTTCTTAAACCTTTAATTCTGAAGTTGAATTATTGCAATTATTAGCTCTTTTAAGCTCTTCTCGGAGCGAGTCGCTAGTGTATATATTATATATATATATATATATATATATATATATATTTATATAAACCATACCTTCCTCTTAAATCACTCTATCTATTAAAAAAAAACTGCTTCATAATCCGTCGTGTAATTTTAAAGATTTAAGCATACATAGGGATGGACAGACAGCGACAGCGACTTTATTTTGTACTATGTAGTGATGTACAATTGTCATTATATATAATTAAAATAATATATTCATGTATAAAATATATAATTTAATTAATATATAATATGAATAATATTAAAAAACCAACCTAACATCTTGACGACTCTTTTCGTCGACTGGCTAGACTTCCGTCGAACTTCATGGGTCAGGTGGCGACTTCTTTCAAATAATCTTTGGTCATTATTGTCTTTACTTATACTAGTTTTTCTCAGTCTCAAACCGATGAGTGAATACAAAACTGTAATCAGGACCATCGGGGCAAAGAAGAAGAAAAATGTCGATAATTCAAACGAATGTTCGATTATGACACGTGTTTGCAAACACATTGTGATACCCTGGTGATCTTTAATGCCAAACTGTAGAGCTTGAGGTAATGCAAATGCGAAGGCGGCTACCCATAGCATCATCACGTGTCGTGTTGCACGTGAAAGTTTGGACATCTTGTGCGAGACGAACGGATGACAAATCGCTAAGTATCTTTCTATAGTGAATAGAGTTATTGTCAATACGCTCGCATTTGTAGACGTCTCCGATGCTAGACCTCGAAGCAAACAGAAGCTGTGCCCAAAAACGTAAGGCCATTTGGACCAGATAGAATACATTTCTTGGGGTATTCCACTTACTAAGAGGAGTAGGTCTGATATTGCTAAACTGAACAAGTAATAGTTAGTAGCTGTGTGCATACTTTTGTTTCTGACTATCACTAAGCATGTAAATATATTACCGATTAACCCAGTTACAAATATAAGTGAGTAAATTATTGTTATAGGCAGAACTATATACAATGGATCTCTTTGAGGACCAAATATGAGGGTTGGGTCAGCAACTAGAGAGCCATTGGTAGTTTCATTAATAAAGTCTTCTGTAGAACCCATGATGTGTTGTTTGCATTACTTTGATTAACTTTCATATCGTTTTATCAAAAAAAAAATGCTTCAGTAGAGTCTTCCATTTTCTTTACTGGATATCCTCATGACATCTGAAAATAAAAAAAGGCATGTGAATATATTGGACTACACGTACAAATACACGTATAAATTATATAAACAATTGTTATATCTTTAGATCAAATTCTTAGTATTTGGCTATTGTTTACTATTATTTCGAGTTTTATAAGACGAATCGAATGATATGTTTGTCAAAATCAATAAAGCTATTGATCGTTCAAAGTGTTATATGGGTTAATCCTGTTTTTAACCTACAAAAAGGCATCTTCATCAATTAAAAAAAATATAATAAAAAATTATCTGTATTATTTTATTATTCATGTTTCAATATGTCATCATCTTCCTACCCTTATCCCACTTATTATTTGGGGTTGGCATAATATGGTTTTATCCATATTACAAAAAGATTTGGTTTTTAGTTTCACGACCGGCCACCTTCCTGACGTCAACCCACTGGTCAACTCGTGGTTTCCGCCACCTGCGGTATGGAGGAAAGGATTGAGGAAAAAAGGATGTTTCAATATGTACTGTATGTACTAAAAATGTAATGGCTATATACGTTTAAAATAAATAATAATGTATTTTTTTATAATAAAAAATACTTTACAGAGTCGTCAATCCGCGTGACAGAGGTGTATTTCATACAAATCACAGTTGTCTCCTGCTACCTGAGCCTGTGTATAATTTATATCCATTTTGTAATAGTGACTAAAATTTTTTGACATTTTTAATAAAAAAATAAAAAAATCTCGTCTCTCACTACATACTGTTTTAGTAGGTATATTCGGTCACATGTTTTTCCATTCAAACGATGCATATACACGGCTCGCTTTTGTTACCGTCGATTAGGTATTTAGCCCTCCCTCCTCCTCCCTGGGATTAGCTCTTTAGGACCCAGAAATCGCGCGTTAGCCGCCTGGAATCTGTGTATGGAGGTGCGTGTGTTTATTCGGCGACAACTTCATCACGTAAGTATTGGACAAAAATATATCAATCACAGTTACTTCTTATTATTTAATATTTTGCATAATAAGAAACACTTTCATGCCAATCTGTTAGATTTGTATTTTGTGGTAACGTTTAAATATTATCAATTTTGTAAGTAAGATTTACCCGTCACGCTACAACTCCGTCACAAAAATATTGTGACGGAGTGGTAAAGTATTTTTTACCACTCCATCACGGAGTGGTAAAAAATACTTGCAAAGAATATAATATTTATTTTATCTCATAAAATATAAGAATCTGTTAAAATAGGACCGGTACTTATTATAGTTACTTGTTCGATATAAAGTTTATCTAATGTTTTTCTAATGTTTACATACTTATTTACATATTTTATTCTTCAAGATATTATCATGACGAAATAGAAGACGTTAATAGCAGTAGATAGACAGCGGCGTTGCCATGAGATACGAAAAAATGATCCAGAAAAGGTAGCTGAAGTAAAACGCAAAGATCTCGAGAGATATCATACTCGTAAGAAGCTTGTGGCTGACATGACCTTGAGAAAACATTGTATCATGAAAAGAAAATAGTAACAAGGAGATAAAAAAAGAAAGGGGAAAAACAGATGCTTGGAAACGTATTGTTAAACACGCCGGCTCCATCGCTAATACCAGTAGATCCAGTAATGCGTCCTTATTCTAAAACACTGACTAATTCAGAAGTATCTAGCTCAAGGAGGAGGAAGAGAGTAAAAAGAGATAGAATAAAGTTATACAGAGAGAATATTAGATTTTATAATCTAATATTATTATCTTATGATAAAATATCTTGAATTTTTTTTAATCAGGACAAAGAGAAGGGAGCTGCTGATGGTGTTGGTAGAACTTTGAAACGCCAAGCTGATGTTATTGTAGCAAAAGGCAAAGATATCGGAGATGCGTTAGAATTCTTTTTCTCCCTTCTGTCCTGTCCCTGATATCTTCAGCAAAATAAATTATTTTTGTTGACAGACGAAGACATAAACAATATTTTAACCCTGAAAGGAACCATGCAAATCCAAGCAATATTTTACTCCTGAAAGGAACCATGAAAATCCACCAACTGTTCTCAGAAACTTGTGGAATCTTAAACTATAGGGTACTGAGTTGTTTTTGTGAACAATTCTGTTCGTGTCACTTTCCTGAAACTTATTGGCCTCTGCCTGAAATAGAATCCAATATTGACAATATTTTCGACCAGTTGTTTCCTAACGAAAAAGAGGACGTTGCAATTCATGAAGCGAAGGATTTGTCGCTCACTGATATTACGAACAAAATTGGCATGCCTCGAAAAAGATTTTATGATATTGTGTATGACCCGGATGAATCATCTGATGAAGATCAGCCATCGGCTACATATAAAAACAAAGATTCCTCTAATCCAACGGCCGTTTCTAGTACTTCTTATGAAACATTTCATCTTAAGGACATTCATTCAAGGAATATACATAAAAGATGGTGTACATGTACTCATTAAAGTCAAAAGTGAAAGGAATGTTCAATACTCATACGCTGGAGTAGCAAAAAGTAACGTTGACGAAGAAGGCGACGTTCTGGTGATGTCCCTGAAAACAATCGATGATTGTGGAAAATTGTTTAAATTCGTGGAGAATGACTTATCGTATGTTCCATATGAGGATTTGATTAAAATTCTACCAAATCCAAAGGTAGCTAAAAAAGAAAGAAAAAGGTTTTTTGAATTTGATGAGCCTTTGCCAGTGTTCGAAAAGTAAGACTGATTAGGACTAGCATGATTTATGGAGAATGTAATTTGTTGTTGATGATAATATAAAATAATATTTTATTTTAAGTTTTCAGTCAAATTAGATATTTTTTTAGTTGAGATAAGTAGAGTATAAGAAGTCTTATAATTTAATTATACTAATACGGATCTCTCATTCCAAAGGTTCTGCAATGTGATTTTATTAGTATGTAAGTATTTCGGTTTTAAGAAAGTTAAAGACTGTTAAATATTTAATTATTCTAAAAAAATAATAAATGATTCTAAATAAGTACATTCAAAACTAATTTTATTCCAAAATACAACCTGATATTTTATCGAATAACAACTCTGTCACATACTCTACCACTCTGTCACGATAATGTCTCCTGGTTTTAAAACTTATATAGCCATTTTTATATTTTGTTATGAATAGTACAATTTCGGAAAAATCATATTAAAAATAGTTAACTACTATAATCTACGACATTAATATTTCTGTGCTAGAAGTGATTAAAATTGAATTATAGCAAAAATATATTTCAAACTAGCTGCAATTGTGACAGAGTGGTATAAGATTAAAAATATGTATTTATTATTATATTATATACAGAAGTATTGCTTTGTAAGTTTTCTAAAAGGACCATTTGATTATTATTGTAACAAATAATTTGCAAGCTATCTGAGTTAAACTATTTGATACAAAAAATAAAAGACATTGTAACGGAGGTGTACAATTATTAGTCCAATCCATCTTTGCCTTGAAAATCTTTGAATTGAAAAGTTTGTAAACTTCGCGGCCAACAACTTTTTCAGATAAAATAGACATTCAGCTATCACAAAACATAAAAGATTTGACTAGAAAGCGTAATATTTTTTTTGGAATTTTGAGTGTATAGTTTAATAACATGTAGGTTAAAAAAAAGAATGACCATATATACTCAATCACGAATAGACATAAAAAATGTTACTCTAAAACAAGAAAAAAGAAAGCAATTTCATAATAATAAAATAATTTTTATTCAAGTAAACTTAATAATAAGCATTTTGAATAGTATTTTTTTTATAAACTACTGTCCAGTTCGAAACGCAATTTTAGCTGAGAAGAACAATCACAATCCGCAGCATCGTGACGTAAACGGTCAATGTCAATAGCATCAAAAATGCGCTGCATAAGGATTTTCCGTTTACCTTTGGGAGGACGAATTTTATAAGACAGATAAATGAGGTTATGGAAGGAAAATGCATCTGCAGGATATTGGCCATGTTTCGCAACATGGTCAGGAGAGGAGACTAAAATCAAATCAAGTAAGGAAGGATTACAGTTAGGAAAGAAATGGGTGGCTTGGAGGGGCAGGATCTCTAGATTGCAAGCATGGGCCAGAGACTTAAGACGATTCGCACGCAGGTCATTTTTACGAAGGCAAGTATTAAAGTCCCCCATAATAATAGTGTGATTATAGGACGGGATTAGGTTCTCTAAGAGGCTTTCAAAAGAGGAAAAATAATCAGTAGTGAAAGATGGACTATAGAAAACTCCTAGTAGAACCTTGATATGACAGAGAGTTATTTCAAGGAAAAGGTGTTCAAAATTGCAGGAAGAATTTGTCGTTAAAGAAGAGTTAATAATAGCGTAAGGTATATCAGAACGAAGGTATATAGCTATATATATAGGTATATGTAATGTCCTTTTTATGAAAAATTTCTACTAATTGCGGCTATGTGTGGTAACGAGTGGCAAGTATATTGAACAGGAGATGCTGATTTGTATCACCTGATTATTAGTACATTAGATTTCTCTAACGATATTGTATCGTACCGTAAGTTTCCTAAGTAAACTGTCAAATGTACCTACACTTTTTGGACCCCCCAGCAAAGAAACTAAAAATATTTTTACAATTATTTCCATTTAGTTGTGTAGGTCGACAATATGTAAAATTGTTCCTAATTTCAAATCAAAAGCATTAGTAGTTGCTGAGATGTAGGGCTGTGACAGACAGAAAGACGGACGCATGGCCGGACGGACATAGTCGTATCAGAAGGGTTCTTTTGTACTATTTTGTGTATGGAACCCTTAAAAGAAAAATATTTGTTTATTATTGCTTTTTGTTGAACTATTAATAAAGTAATAAGTGAATTTGTTTGTAACCTCTTGGCGCTTTAACGGTTAAATAAATTATTTTGAAATTTAGTATATTATAAATTAATATATATATATATATATATATATATATATATATATATATATATATATATATATATATATATATATATATATATATATATATGTATATATAATTCATTATAATTGGGATAGAGAATGCTA